CCTTTTCAACCCCTGGGTTTCTTGCCCCTCATTTCAGATGATCACTCTGTCCCAGGTCTGGCTTCTGTTGGAGCCAGGCGCTTGGATGGTGTTCCTGGACCTCAAGGACGTGTATTCGCACGTCCCAATTTATCTGGGGTTCTGGGACTGGCTCAGTTTTGTTGTGGGGTGCAAGAGTTACTGCTTTCATTGTCTAACATTCGGGTTGACCTAGCACCTCACATGTTTACACGCCTTACCCAGGTCATGGTGGCCCGTCTGCATCTGTTAGGTGTTGGGGTTTTTGCCTACCTTGATGACTGGCTGGTTTGGGCTGCATGTCAGTTCACGTATCAGCTCGCCAGGGATTTATTTCTATCCGAGCTTGCCGGGTTCTGGTTCTGGGTGAACTGGAGGAAGTCCCATCTGGTTCCCTCTAAGGTTCGGTCTTGGCTGGGTCTTGTGTGGGACGTTGTGACTGCTTCCTTGTCTCTTCCTCCGGTGGATCTACTTTGTCTGCATTCCAGCCTTCGTCTGTTCCTGAGGGGCTCTCGGGTCACACGGCGGTTGCTCGAGGGTTTGTGCGGTGTAGCTTGAACTTTTCCATGATGATACAATACAATACAATACAATTTTATTTAGGTAAGGTACATACATACAATAAATATTTACAAGGATTGTTTAACTTATAGGTAGAGCTAGTACATACAATGCCTAAAGCCTCTATTACGCAAAGCGTTCTATCCACCGGGTTGGGTTTGGTTTCGTCGGCTGTTCTGGTTTCTTCAGGGGCGTCTCTTCCACCTCTCTTACGACTGCTGAGTTCGGCCTCCTGAGGCTTTGTGTCAGTTGCTGTGTTGCCGGCTTCCTCTAAGGGTTTTTCGGGGTTCAGTGTCTTGGCTTTTCCCGAGCCCTCACTCGATGTGTTCACAGACGCGTCGTCTCCTGGCTGGGGCTTTGTGACCTGTGCTGACCAAGCTGGCCAAGGACGATGGGGTCTGCCCTTCCATCGGGCTCAAAGCACGGTGCGGGAGTTCGTGGATGTCACTCTGGAGGATTCGGGTCACTGGCGGGTCGACGATCCGGCTCCATTTGGACTGTTTTCCGGTGGTTCATTGCCTGAACCGCGGGAGTTCGATGCGGTCCCTTGGCTCTTTGAGGCTGGTCACTTCGGGTGACTCGTCTGCTGAGTTCTCAGGGTTTGGCTCTCCTGGCAGTTCACGTTTGGGGAGTCCAATGTCATGGCAGACGGCCTGTCCCGCTTCCTTCCCCTTGCAACGGTGTGGACAGTCGACACAGAGTCGTTCAGTTGGCTCTGCCGAACATTCGAGCCTCCGATGGTGGACCTCTTCGCGTCGGCGTGGCGCCCTTCCTCGACTGCGAGCCGTTGGTGTTGATGCTTTTTGGCAGGACAGGGAGAGGTGGGGGTTACCTGTACCACTTCCCCCCGGTTCAGATGTTGCTCCAAGTCCTAGCTCCCTGGGAGTCTTACCAGGGTTGAGTTGTCCTGGCTCCTTGGTGGCCTGCCCAGCCTTGGTTTCAGGTGCTGCTTGCTCAGTGTTTGAACCCGAGGGTCTTTTGCAGCTCTTTCAGCAGATTGGTCCAGCCCGATATAAAGTTAGTTCGTTCTTCTCCTCGAGTCTTTGCGTCTGGATTTTCTGACTCGAGTCTTATCACAACTTGTATGGTGTGCAGGTGGCTTTGTTGTTGGTCTCCCACCTGCGTGCTTTGACTAGGCACCAGTATGAAGTTTCCTGGCGATCCGGTTTTTCCTCTCACTGCGTAGGAGTAATTCGATCTCTAATAGGGTTGTTTTGTCCATCCTTTCGTGGTTGTTTCAGGATCGTCATCTTGTGCCAAATACTGTCGCCGCATGTTGTGCTGCGCTGACGGAGTCGCTCCGACTTGTGTTCGGTATTGATGTTACGTCTGCTCTGTTCCACAAGCTATCTCATACGTTGTTTCACCACCGGCCTGCTCATGCGCCACCTGAGCCGTCATGGTCTTCGGACCGGGTGCTCTCTTTTCTCTCTTCTCCTCAGTTTGTTGTGGCCCCTTCAGTTCAGGACTGTTTCTCTAAGGCTCTTATCCTGTAGGCATTGGCCTCTGGGGGGGTCGGGTTGGGGAGCTTCATGCTCTCCTCCAGCGCAGGGGTTTCTGCTCCTTTGGTCCTGGTAGTAGGTTTGTTCTGTTGCAGCCGTCTCTTTTTCTGGCGAAGAATGAGTCTGCTGCTTTCTGAAGGAGTCCTTGGGTTGTTGATGCTTGCATGGTCAGGCCGGGGATGCATCATGTGTTGTGTCCGGTTGCGGCTCTCCATCGTTATTTGCGCGCCAAGGCTGTGGTGGCTGAGGATGCGCTTAGGGTTGACCCAGTTTCCCTTCTTTCCTGTTCCTAGGCTCTTGTCTCCCAGGTCGTCCGCAGGGTTAAGTTTAGACAGCCTGTGTTCTATCCTCGTGCCCATGACATTCGTAAGTTTGCTGCACTGGCTGCCATCTTTGGTAACATGTCTTGGGTTTATATTCGGACACTGGGTTGTTGTTGGTCGGACACAAGTCGAAGTAGGGGAGTAGAAGAACTCCCAGAACCCCATCAACCAGGTATCAACCAGGGTTCTGGCCCCTCGCTACCTGGTCAAAGTCCTTCGACCTAGTAGGGCCTGTACTGCATTGGTCGGCAGTTGCAGCCAGTTGTCTCAGCTTCGCGTTGAGTGAGGATTGACCGCCACCCAGGTAAGTCCCTGTTTTTCCTTGTCTTTGGGTAGTTAGCTCCTGGGAGCCGACAGGGTGCCCCCCCAGAAAACCAGCGTTGAATGTAATGAATCGCTGCATTACATTGCGAATGTAATGAATCGCTGCATTACATTGCGAATGTAATGAATACTGGAGTGAACGATATGGAAAAAAATGCAGAATAGAACCAGTGAAGGTGCCATAGGCACAGAGAAAACTGAATAAACATCAGACGTTCGGTGTTGTTCAACATCCTACCAGCGAGCATCAGAAATATTGCCGGAACAACCGTGGGCATCTTCAAGAGAAAACTGTTTTCAAGTTTTGAAGAAAAACAAGAACAAACTCCTTGTCAAGAAAACAAGATTGTTTTCTTCAAGGAGTGCCGGATCAACCGGGCTGTGTTGGGTATGTGGGCATGCAGGCCGCTCCAAGCAACAACCTGGTGGACCAAACTCTCACAAGCTGCTATTTGTGAGCAGCTTCTTCTTCTATTCCCTAAGGCAGGCCTCGGGCCGGGCTTGGGGAGTAGAAGAACTCCCAGAACCCCATCAAGCAGGTATCACTATTTTCTGGGTGAGTCCCAAAGGCTCCCCGGCATCCCTCCCTCCAGTCGGCGGTGTTTTTCGTGAGTTTTTACATCCAAGCGAGTTTTGAGCCCCAGGCGTGAGGGTCTGGGGCTCTCCCTTCCCCTTCCCGGAGAGGGGGGAGGGTTGCATAGAGAGTGGCGCTGCAACGTGATGACGTCATGCTCGTTTGCTAATATTCGTTTGGGGAGTTCTGTCTACTCGTTCAGCTTTTGGTAGCAATATTTTCACCAGAATAAGGGTTTGTTTTAGGGTGCCTACCTTTCTGGGTGCCAGATCCGGTCGATGGCAGACATAGAATGCTCCCAACAACACGGGGGTTTCTATAGGCTATTTCTCCTCACGCCTCTAAGAGGGGGGCCAGGTTCTGGCTCGTGGTCCCTGGTAGGAAAGAACTCCATGCACATTGACTAATGTGAGAAAGCTAATATATCCATATCTGTGGGGAGCCTCCGGGACTCGCCCAGAATAGGATGTTTCATTACGTTCAGCGCTGGTTTTTTGCTCTAATACCTAAAACATTGTTATTAATAAAGTCAACTGTCATCTTGGTGTTTCTCTACACTGTGGTCAGTGTTCACTACACCCATGTCAACTGTCATCTTAGTGACAGACTGACTACAGGTGTAGTTTCAGTTTCCTGATGCTTCATTATAGTCCAGTTACTTTACTCAGAGCCTGATGCTTCATTATAGTCCAGTTACTTTACTCAGAGCCTGATGCTTCATTATAGTCCATTTACTTTACTCAGAGCCTGATGCTTCATTATAGTCCAGTTACTTTACTCAGAGCCTGATGCTTCATTATAGTCCAGTTACTTTACTCAGAGCCTGATGCTTCATTATAGTCCAGTTACTTTACTCAGAGCCTGATGCTTCATTATAGTCCAGTTACTTTACTCAGAGCCTGATGCTTCATTATAGTCCAGTTACTTTACTCAGAGCCTGATGCTTCATTATAGTCCAGTTACTTTACTCAGAGCCTGATGTTTCATTATAGTCCAGTTACTTTACTCAGAGCCTGATGCTTCATTATAGTCCAGTTACTTTACTCAGAGCCTGATGCTTCATTATAGTCCAGTTACTTTACTCAGAGTCTGATGCTTCATTATAGTCCAGGTTCCACATTAATGTTTGTGTTGGTAATGACAGGTGCAGGAGACCATCAGGGAGGCCCTGGAGATGATGACCACAGAGACAAGTGCCACAGCTGACCCCTACACCAGACTCAGCCTCCACCATTAATGTTTGTGTTGTAATGACAGGTGCAGGAGACCATCAGGGAGGCCCTGGAGATGATAGTGCCACAGCTGACCCCATACACCTGGGGACTCAGCCTCCACCATTAATGTTTGTGTTGGTAATGACAGGTGCAGGAGACCATCAGGGAGGCCCTGGAGATGATGACCACAGAGACAGGTGCCACAGCTGACCCCATACACCTGGGAGACTCAGCCTCCACCATTAATGTTTGTGTTGGTAATGACAGGTGCAGGAGACCATCAGGGAGGCCCTGGAGATGATGACCACAGAGACAGGTGCCACAGCTGACCCCGTACACCTGGGAGACTCAGCCTCCACCATTAATGTTTGTGTTGGTAATGACAGGTGCAGGAGACCATCAGGGAGGCCCTGGAGATGATGACCACAGAGACAGGTGCCACAGCTGACCCCGTACACCTGGGAGACTCAGCCTCCAGCATCATGAATAAAGTTCAGGAAATCACTGGAGAGATCCCCCAGAAGCAATTAACAGTAAGTTTTTTATTTTCTCTCGTGGTTCATATCACAAGATATTGAGTTGCGTTTTGAGGAGAGGAAGCCTGTTCTTAGGTTTATGGAGGTTTCCCAAGGTCAACTACTGACTTTCCTTAACATACAATACACAATAGTTGCCTAACTCCTGGTAAACATTTACTGGTAGGTGAACAACAGAAACAGGTGAAAAGAAACATGTGAATCATTTCCGTCCTGCATAAAGATTGAACCTGTGATCCTCTATTGAACCCGGGATCCTTGCCCCCTCACAGAGGCACAGAGAGCGGGAGACACTCCACCAACCTACCGGGAAAGCATTCAGGAAGACAGTGAACCAAAACAGACCACTGCTGGGTTCGAGTGGTCCCAGCAGTGGACCTGCTGGGACCACTGCTGGGACCAGTGTTCAAATCTCATGTCGTGATACCAGTGGTACCAGTGTTCAAATCTCATGTCGTGATACCAGTGGTACCAGTGTTCAAATCTCATGTCGTGATACCAGTGGTACCAGTGTTCAAATCTCATGTCGTGTTGCCAACACAGGGTCTCTCTCTGTCATTCCAGTAACAGTACAGAATAATCATGTTATTAACCACAAAGCTCAATGAGATGGAGGTTATACCAAAAGCAGTGATAAAATAGTAAAAGTTTACTCAAAGTAAACTACAACACACGAGATACATGTATGAATTTATGGAAATAATAATAATAATGATGAAAGCAGGGCTCCTCTGGTGGCTGCCAGCAGCTCGCATCAGCTGATGAAGTAAAGGGATCACTGGCCCCTCACTGGGGCGGCTCCGTCAGCGTCGCTCCTCACTCCTCCACGGGCCGGCCACACGCTGTCTTCACCACTCAGTAGAATAATATATACGTGCTGTCCCACAGCCTAATCTACTCCTATGACTTATATGCACTCTAATAAATGCTTAAGCATAATAATAGGCCTATCTTGCCTAACAATCAAGGGAATTATGGGAGGGAAATATGATCTACCTTAACATATCCCGTCCTCAGACGCCTAGGCTCCAGTCGCCCGCTGGGTACTCCGTTCCTCGCGTTGTTCCCAGTGTTCCAGAAGCATCACCAGTCCAAAAGTGTGAAGATCCTCGGCATCTCCGTGCTCATTCCCTGAGTGATGTTCCTGGGCGTTGGCTCATCCATTCGTCACTGCATGCGTCGTTCCCTCAAGCATTCCTTCACCGAGACCACACTCAAGGATCAGGATGCACTTTCTTCCTTCTGAGTTCCTAGTAGGCGTGATCTAATCACAACAGCTCTGAATGCTTTGGAGTTCCACCGACAGCGAGTGTTCCAGGTCCACTTCAGCTCACTCCTCCAGCCGTCGTAACTCTCTCAACTTCTCCAAAACTATTAGCACACGGTCCTCGGCGTCCTTTCACCGCTGGATTAGGCTTCCTCACACTTCCCTGAAGTTCTGCAGTCCTTGTTAATCACTATATACTCGTCAGGCTGTGTATATCCACTTATGGAGGCTCCTAGACCTCAGAACTAGAGAGCTCAATCGACGCACGTCCGCTCTCAACGAAGCGCCTGGTGCTCTGCAGGCGGGCCAGGTCTCTCGGTGATGTCACAGACCCAGGGGCGGGCTCTGATTGGTCAATGAAGTTATGTGACCTCAGCCAGCTAATCACCGACCAGAGGGCATCGTACACAAAATGATGGATTTACAAGCCAGGCGGCGCCATTTTGTTGTACCCAGGGCGCGAATTTTCCACTTCTCTGCAAATTTACAAATGCAAATTTCTCCCCAAATTAACAACCATTCTGGAAGCCTCATACCTCAAAAGATTCCCTGTGCCTCAGAGAACCTGCAGGTAAGCTGATATGACTCTTAAACCTGGCATATGGCAGAAACTGTAGGGGACACCATCACAACGTCCAGGACTAATCCCCTGCCAGTAGAGGGGGACTGGGGCTACAGGTCCAGCCCCAACCCACTGCCAGTAGAAGTGGGGGGGGGGGAGGCTGGACCCAGCACAAACCCCCTGCCAGTAGAGGGGGCTGGAGCTACAGGTCTAGCACCAACCCCCTGCCAGTAGAGGGGGCTGGAGCTACAGGTCCAGCATCAACCCCCTGGCAGTAGAGGGTGGGCTGGAGCTACAGGTCCAGCACCAACCCCCTTCCAGTAGAGAAGGGGTTGGAGATGCAGGTCCAGAACCAACCCCCTGCCAGTAGAGGGGAGGGTTGGAGCTTCAGGTTCAGCACCTGTCCCTTGACAGTAGAGGGGCGCTGGAGTTACAGGCCCAGCACCAACCCCTTGCCAATAGAGGGGGGGATGGAGCTACAGGTCCAGCACCAACCCCCCTGCCAATTGAGGGGGGGCTGGAGCTACAGGTCCAGCACCAACCCCCATGCCAATTGAGGGGGGGCTGGAGCTACAGGTCCAGCACCAACTCCCTGCAAGTAGACGGGGGCTGGAGCTACAGGTCCAGCACCAACCCCCTGCCAGTAGAGGGGGGCTGGAGCTACAGGTCTAGCACCAACCCCATGGCAGTAGAGGGGGGGTTGAAGCTACAGGTCCAGCACCAACCCCCTTCCAGTAGAGGGAGGCTGGAGAGACTGGTCCTGAAAGAACCCACTGCCAGTAAAGGGGGGTTGGAGATACAGGTCCAACCCCCTGCCAAAAGAGGGGAGGGTTGGAGCTTCAGGTTCAGCACCAACCCCTTGACAGTAGAGGGGGCTGGAGCTACAGGTCCAGCACCAACCCCCTGCCAGTAGAGGGGGGCTGGAGCTACAGGTTCAGCACTAATCCCCTGCCAGTAGAGGGGGCCTGGAGCTACAGGTTCAGCACTAATCCCCTGACAGTAGAGGGGGGCTGGAGCTACAGGTCCAGCACCAACCCCCCATGCCAGTAGAGGGGGCCTGGACCGACAGGTCTAGCACCAACCCCCCTGCCAGTAGAAGGGGGCTGGAGCTACAGGCCCAGCACCAACCCCTTGCCAATTGAGGGGGGGATGGAGCTACATGTCCAGCAACAACCACCCCTGCCATTAGAGGAGGGGCTGGAGCTAAAGGTCCAGCACCAACCCCTTGCCAGTAGAGGGAGACTGGAGCTACAGGTCCAGCACCAACCCCCTGCCAGTAGAGGGGGCTGGAGCTACATGTCCAGCACCAACCCCCTGCCATTAGAGGAGGGGCTGGAGATAGAGGTCCAGCACCAACCCCTTTCCAGTAGAGGGGGGGGGGCTGGAGCTACAGGTCCAGCACCAACCCCCTGCCAGTAGAGGGAGCTGGAGCTACTGGTCCAGCACCAACCTCCTGCCATTATAGAGGGGCTGGAGCTACAGGTCCAACACCAACCCCCTGCCAGTAGAGGGGAGCTGGAGTTACAAGTCTAGCACCAACCTCTGTCAGCAGAGGGGGGGCTGGAGCTATAGGGCTAACACCAAACCCTGCCAGTAGAGGGGGTTGGAGGTACAGGTCCAGCACCAACCCCCAGCCAGTAGTGGGGGGGCTGGAGCTACAGGTCCAGCGCCAACCCCCTGCGAGTAGAGGGGGGGCTGCAGATACAGGTCCAGCACCAACCCCCTGCCAGTAGAGGGGAGGGATGGAGCTTCAGGTCCAGCACCAACCCCCTGCCAGTAGAGTGGAGGGATGGAGCTACAGGTCCAGGTCCAACCCCCTGCGAGTAGAGGGGGGGCTGGAGATACAGGTCCAGCACCAACCCCCTGCCAGTAGAGGGGGGCTGGAGCTACAGGTTCAGCAATAATCCCCTGCCAGTAGAGGGGGCCTGGAGCTACAGGTTCAGCACTAATCCCCTGACAGTAGAGGGTGGCTGGAGATACAGGTCCAGCACCAACCCCCTGCCAGTAGAGGGGGGTGGGGCTGGAGCTACAGGTCCAGCACCAACCCCCTGCCAGTAGAGGAGAGCAGGAGCTACAGGTCCAGCACCAACCCCCTGCGAGTAGAGGGGGGCTGGAGATACAGGTCCAGCACCAACCCCCCTGCCAGTAGAGGGGAGTGTTGGAGCTTCAGGTTCGGCACCATCCCCTTCACAGTAGAAGGGGGCTGGAGTTACAGGTCCAACACCAACCCCCTGCCAGTAGAGGGAGCTGGAGCTACTGGTCCAGCACCAACCTCCTGCCATTAGAGAGGGGCTGGAGTTACAGGTCCAACACCAACCCCCTGCCAGTAGAGGGGAGCTGGAGTTACAAGTCTAGCACCAACCTCTGTCAGCAGAGGGGGGGCTGGAGCTATAGGGCTAACACCAAACCCTGCCAGTAGAGGGGGTTGGAGGTACAGGTCCAGCACCAACTCCCAGCAAGTAGAGGGGGGGCTGGAGATACATGTCCAGCACCAACCCCCTGCCAGTAGAGGGGGGGCTGGAGTTACAGGTCTAGCACCAACCCCCTGGCAGTAGAGGGGGCTGGAGCTACAGGTCCAGCACCAACCCCCTGCCAGTAGAGGTGTGCTGGAGCTACAGGTCCAGCACCAACCCCTTGACAGTAGAGGGGCTGGAGCTACCGGTCTAGCACCAACCCCCTGCCAGTAGAGGGGGGGCTGGAGTTACAGGTCTAGCACCAACCCCCTGCCAGTAGAGGGGGGGCTGGAGTTACAGGTCTAGCACCAACCCCCTGGCAGTAGAGGGGGACTGGAGTTACAGGTCCAGCATCAACCCCCTGCGAGTAGAGGGAGGCTGGAGCTACAGGTCCAGCACCAACCCCTTGACAGTAGAGGGGCTGGAGCTACCGGTCTAGCACCAACCCCCTGCCAGTAGAGGGGGCTGGAGCTACAGGTCCAGCACCAACCCCTTTACAGTAGAGGGGCTGGAGCTACCGGTCTAGCACCAACCCCCTGCCAGTAGAGGGGGGGGCTAGAGCTACTGGTCCAGCCCTAACCCTCTGCCAGTAGAGGGAGGCGCTGGAGCTGTAGGTCCAGAACCAACCCCCTGCCAGTAGAGGGGAGGGTTGGAGCTTCAGGTTCAGCACCAGCCCCTTGACAGTAGAGGGGGGCAGGAGATACAGGTCTAGCAC